CGAACTGATCGTATGCATGAATTTATTGCGAGCGATAGTTCCAGTGAGATTCCAATCTTCTAACCGAACTGAATTCAGACACATTTTGTTATCTTACATCAGTGTACACATTCGAAGTTAAAAACACGATCGCATTTATATTTATTTGTCGTATACGTGTAGGTCTACACATTTTTTTTTTTGATAAACCAAAAACAGTTTTGAGTCCACAACATAGACACGGCTTATTTAACACCAAAAACGATCAGAAAAATACATACGGGTCTCACCTTGTAAACTCAATCGGCCAGATTCTTCGTAATTCAATCAAAACACTGCGCTCCAACTTGTTTCTTTGCATCGTTATATTCTCACGCTCAGCATTGATGTACATCCAACATTCATCTAACCAATGCGGCAGCAAAAAGCGATTGCATAAACACCACGGACAATGCATATGACCCTTACCGGTGGCTTTGTCATCGCTCGATGACTCAGCACTATGACGTATAACTGGATTCCCCCACTCGAGTACAAATGCTGTTGTTTATGATAGGGAAACGAGAACGGGGCCTGTTTACTGTACTACGAGAACGAGGCCTGTTTACTGTACTACGTAAATTGTGTTATGTACTTTTTGCCTTTATATCGTATAGTTTTCAGAAACTTGCACGAAGAAAAGAAAGCGAGATTCTTAAGTTAGAAAACCAAACTTCCAACACCCTTAGCCAAATGATTTAAGCGTGGAAAACGATCGTCTACTGGTATTTCAGTTAATTCAACCAAGGGCGCCACCGTACTTAAGGCCCTTTGTCCAAGGATTATTGGCCCTTCCGGGAATTATCGATCGCTTTAGAACCACATGGAGTGATCAATAATCACTTCCGGCACACCTGCCCAAATTGCAGTCCCATTGTCCGAGGGATTATCCACTTATACTGACCACACGCGAGCGCCACTTACAGTCCCATTGTCCAAGGATTATCCGTTACAACTGGCCGTGTTCACTACCGTTCCCATTGCGCAACCAGTAGCAATATGTCGAAACATAACTATACTGTATTGAAATTTTTATATTTTCCTCCCATACATTATGCAATCTTTCCCATAGGAAAGGTCAAACTGTACTCGGTTCCTTACCCTCTGCTATTCCCTATTCATCCAATCCATACAATAGGTCAAACTGTGCCAGAATTTCCTAACCCCATTAATTCATAATTATATCTGTATATACATATTTACATATTTATGTGGTTTTACATATTTATGTGGTATGTGGTTTTTCTTTTGCCAACTCACAGCGCGGCAAATTGCCGTGACAACACAGACTCGCGTTCCCGTTCTAGATGTTATTCACTGTGGTATTTTGCTGTTAATATAAGACAATTTAAGTCACGATATTGAATCATTGTAGAATAATTTAGGTGTACATTTTGGTGTTAGATGTATAGTGTATTGTTACGGCAAAGTAACATTTTATTGCTAATAATAATGTTGGTACAGTGTTGGAAATTTTTTTATCAATGTGATGCCTTATTGCCGTGGTGTACAGGTTTATCAGAATTCCAAAATTACAAAGTTTTCGAGGTCAAATACAGTGGAGGTTAGCTTTTGTGAATGCAGGAACCTTAAAAAAAAAGAATAAAAGAGAATATTTCCCAAATATTCGTAGTTCCGTGTGAATATCGACGAGTTATCGTAAAGAGAAGCTAAGAGGCAGCCATCTTGATCTCATTGAGGGATATACCAATATTGTACATATATAATTCAAATGCTGTTTTTGCTGAGCGGTTATGTTCCTATTTGTGAAATAAAAATGCCTATAAATAAACCATGTATTTGGTCTTGCTTGTTTTGTATTTGCTTGATTCGTTCGATGATCGAATCATAACTCGAATCAGATCAGCAGATGTGCGATGCGATAGGATTAGAAAGCAAAATGGATTTGCGGCCAGTGCACATTTGATTGCCTGTAAAAGTGACCACTACTTCGTCAGCGAGGAAATATGTATATTGTATATTGTTTTCTCTTCATTTTATGTTTCTTTCTTTATTTATTTCATTTTTGTCAAGGGAAAGAAGAAAATTCCCTTGGTCCCCCTCCTCGTGACTCCCATGTTACTTTATGGTACATACTGTCTGACAGTGCACCATGAATATATGACGCGATAAACGACCCATTTATTTGATATTTAATTAGTTTCCTCCTGAAACGTCCTCTAGGGATCTTGAAAACATTATCTAGGGATGTTGATATTTACTGTGTCATTTGTTGAAATGCCGTCAAATGGCTTGGAGCGTTTACTGAACAGTGGAACCTTGCGCCATACTATCTTGGCTTTGGTGAAGCTGCGAAGCCACGAAGCAGAGCGGAGGCGAACTCGGCGCGAAAGATTGGCGAAGCTGCTAGACCTTTTTCTAACATTTTGTGAGGCCTTGGTTGAATTATTTTATAGGGTTGCAAACATGAGTCATTGTTATTTTTAAGCGCATGCGCATACGATTCAACAGGTACCCCGGAGGACTCCTATTGTTCGGCATGTAAAGGATTTAGTCGACCGACTTTTCAGAAATTCCGCTGAACCCAAAATCTTCACATTCGTATCGGGTCTCAATTTTTTTCTCGAATTTCTTGGCAACGACAGCTCCTGTTCCAAGTTCTTGGGTAACCTCATATGTTAGTATTGAACATCCAGGTCATCATTAAACATCGCGATTGTAGATGGAATTTCGACTTCAGACTCAGTACACAGAGAGACCGACATCCGCAGATGGTCCCCAAAAATTCTTGTCACCATGGCGTCATCAGGTGTCCACAACATCATCATGTCGGGATCGCCTGGGTAGTGACGACATCACGAGCCAGTCCCCAAGTCCTCTTCCTCCAGCTGTCTCGATCTGTCATGCAGGTGCGCAGCTCCTTTGCAGATATGAGATCAGTGTCCCTCTTGAGCTGGTCCACAAAGGTCAGACTTCTTCTGCCTCTTAAGGCAGTGCCCTGGGTGGGCTCCCACAGTATGGTTGGGTGGGCAGCAAGCTCAGGGTGGCGGATGCAGTGGCCAGCGAGATTAAGACGACGCTGTCTGATCTTGTGAGTCACTCTCTGCATGCCGTTGTAGAGGTCATCATTCCTCATACGATCCTGCCACGATACGTTGAGGGCTATACGTAGCATGCGAGTGTAGCATCCATCCAGTGACTTCTCCTCCTTGGTTGTGAGGGTCCACGTCTCTGCACCATAGAGTCTTTTGAGCTTTGTACTGATGGCTGACGTCCATACAGTTTTCATGCTGCGAAGTGCTGACCACGCCAATCCTCGTCTGGTCTTGATGTCTTTTCCGCTTGAATCGACATACGCTCCAAGATATTTGAAATCGGACGCGTTCTTCAGCAGCGTGCCGTCTCTGGTGTGGACGGTAGCGTCAGTCGTGTTTTATGCCAGCACTTTGGTCTTCCCAGCGTTGAGATGTCATCCCATCTTAAAACATTCTTCCTCCACCGAGAGGAGAAGGGTACGAGCCTGTTCCACAGTGTTTGAGATCAGTACTATGTCATCGGCGAAGTCCAGATCGGTGACTGTTACTGGAGGCACTCGCCGGCTCTCGCAGTAGGATGCTGTCACAGTTTCCACAAGCTTCTTTGGTATCCCATATGCACTAGGGATATCGAGCATCTCCCCCCTGTGGATTGAGTCAAAAGCCTTTTTGAAGTCTATGAACGTCATCACAGCAGAAAGATTCTTGCTCTTGACGCCCTCGATGCTCCTCCGAAGTGCAATGATTTGACCCACAGTTGTCCTTTTTTGGCGAAAACCATTTTGAGCTGTTCTTTAGAGAGGGTCTTAGAGCAGGGCGGATACGGTTGAGAACCATCCGGTTAAATGTTTTTGCCATGACAGAGCACAAGCTGATGCCCCGGTAGTTTTCGGTGGATGTGAGGTCCCCGGATTTTGGAACAGGAATGATGTTGAGGGTGCTCCATTGATCCGGAAGTTCCCCATTCTCATAGCACTGTTGATGAAGCCGAGCACGATGTCGTCAATGGGGACATACTTGAGTATTTCCGGGACAACTCCATCCACACCACTGCTCTTTCCTCCCTTCAGTGACTTTTTTGCATAGTCATACTCTTCCCTAGTGAATGGCCCATCCTCGATGTCTAGATCTTCGAAAACGCGCTCAACTTCAGACTGTACGTCCAGCATCACTGGTTCAGCCCCGAGAAGGTTTTTGAAATGGTTGTACCATGCCTTGACTCGCTCTTCATCGGACTCGCCCTTGATTTGAGAGGGTCTGGCGGAACTTCTACCAGTGATCTCTTTGATCAGCTTCCAGCTCTTGCTGTGCTTGTGGTTGAGATGAGCTTCCTCCACTTTTTTGATCTTGTTGGCAAGCTCCTCCTCTTCGATGGCATCATAGGTTAGGTATAAAACCTTCTTCTTGTTGTTGTACTCTTCCCGATTGGTTTCACAGCGGTGCTTGAGTAGCTTAATGTACGCTGCTACCATGTCTTCCCTGGATCTGATGACTCGAGGGTCCGCTGCAACCCTAGACTTCTTCCCCCTCTTTGGCACTTTGTCCATACACTCCTCTGCTGCATCCTCGTTAGCTTTCACGAACTTTCCATAGCGATCCGTTGTTGACTCCCCCTCTTCGATCAGAGCCTGGAACCGGTTGCTGACCTCCACAGCGTACCTCTCCTGCAGCTCGCTGTTACCCCTCAGCCTCCACCACTCGTACTGGACCTTTCCCTTGGTTGCCTTTTGAGGCGCTCGGAGGCAAAGGCGCACTTTTATCGCCACCACACGATGATCAGACCCCATAGATGCAAATGTTTTGTAGGCACCTGACTCGACCACGCTGCTCCGCCACTTTAGCCTCGTCAGGATGAAGTCCATCTGAGCCTTCGATTCGCTTGGTGACAGCCACGACCACAGACGACCGCTTCTCTTCTCAAACATCGTGTTGCTTGCGAGGAGGGAGTAGTCCTCCATCAGCTCTAGCATCCGAGTCCCATTGTCGTTATTTTTTTTCCAGATAATAGGTGAATGTAGCATCCTCCTGTCCGATTCTAGCGTTGAAATCGCCAAGAATGCACAGGAAGTTGTGGACTGGGACGGCCTCTACTGCGTGCCTGAGGTCGTTGTAGAAGTAATCCTTCTCCTCGCTCTTCGCATCGAGTGTTGGCGCGTAGGCAACCACGATGGTCAGGGTTGGATTGCTGAAAGAAGCAAGGATGACCCTGTTGGATGTCCGAGTTGCACAGATGATCGTCGTCTGTGCCTCCTTGTTATTAATTTAGCACGAGTCCAACCCCACCGGTTGCCGACTGAGCCTCATTCCTCCATGCTGATGCCGTGATGAGTTGGTACTCATCTACCATTGTAATGTCCAAACCCCCCTTCTTGTCTTCTTTATGCACCCTCCTTTGCTCCTGCACTCCACACACGGCGACTCTCTGCTTCCTCATCGCCTCTGCTAGCTCCTTGGCTCTCGAAACCTCCCTGATCGTTCGAACGTTCATGGTGGCGAGAGTCAATTGCTCCTCTTGTTCCTTAGTAGTGCTTCAGATCTCCTGCACTTGTTAGCCGCCCCCCCCCCTTCTCGAGGAATCCTCAGGGTTTAAGGGGACGCCGTCATACTGCTCGCAAGACGAGCGTGCACGTGTCACTTCCGCTGTTCTCCTGCAGACTCCGGCTGCTGGCAGTATACAATTTGCTGTAGTTTTCATACTCATGTTTCTGGCTTTTCAATGCGAATGTAGGTTCTGGGTGGTCGCAACTCCTCTCCCAGAACCGTCGGGTTTTAATTTGGAGTGACCTTTTCCTAGGTAGGTTGCCGACCAAAGCATCGGAGCCCTACCTGCCCCTGGTTGTACGTCCCATTACCCCGGACATTGGGGTTTGAAATCAGAGTTTTCCTTCTCCTAGGTGGGCTACCTCCCATGGATAACGAGCCCCACCTGCCCGGAGCGATCTGGTTTTCAGGCGCCAGAAACTTGCCTTCCACACATCTGCCATCGGTTTGAAACAGGGATAGGCGCATAAAGCCAAGCAGTAGGAATTTGTTAGGAGAGGCTTTTTGAGACGCAGGCCATGTGGGATACTTCATGGGGAAGGGGTGGCTCAGTTCCGCCTACCCATCCCGACCATCCTAACCCTTTGATCCCCAAACGTCAACCTACGTCACATTAAAGGTGCATTTTTGAAAGCCCTATATCTCCTGAAGACATCTCTTGAAGACAAATCCAATTGGGTTGAATCATTACAGACAGGAACGTGTTATAAATGTATATTTAAGTCGTGATGACGTGTCATGTGACCTCACATTTAAAGCGCAATTTGCTGAGGTCTCGAGAAGTAAAGGTCTGATTCAGTTGTACTTTGTGTATAGTGTTGTGTTTTATTCATGTTTATGACATTTATGATGACACCATAAATTAATGGTGAAATATTATGATGAGTCATCACATTTCACAGAGCCATTTCAAAAACAGTCGAAACAGCTTGTTTTCGTACACAAACACATTTCTAGCTTAAATTGTATTTCATAAGCTGATGTGCTTTGCGTAAAGATGAGATGAAGGAAACGACCTGTTGTCAGTTCAAGTTTGATTGTCCCCCCCCAAACAAAAATGCATGAAAAGTGAACAAACTACCCACTTTGTATTTCTTTCCGTCTGTTAAGCAAAGTCTCGTATCAAGTTAACGTCATCATCTATACCGACGTTAATTTACCAACAGAGAGCGCCCAGAAACACTGACACATTTCTCGTACCCAACGCCCCACCCCTACAATTCTTTCGGTTTTGGTTCGGTTTACTAAGTTGTATACAATTTAAAGACAAAAAGACCAGCATCATAATCGCCGAACAAAGTGATTTTGGGTCATAAGGTTGCCCCAAAGTAGCAACCAGGAGGGCAAAAATAGCCCAAAGGTCAACGTGTACCTACTCATTAGCGCCACTTTAGTTATCCCTTCACCTCTGTATATTCCAAAACGAAACCACACTCCTGATATAAGGTCACATCCATAAAAAACAAATGTAAACGCACAACTTTACAATACGTAACCTTTTAAAATTTTATTATACCCTTCTTATCTTCCAAGATTATCTCTAATTTTAGGTCTCTCACTTTGAAAATTGTGCCCTTCCGTTTAAACGAGAAATCGCCAGATCTTTACCACTATTATGCACAATTGAAGCGATATTACATTCATCGATACTTGTTTTCCTTTGAGAAACAAAATTCTCCAAACCACATTTCCAAACTTCAAAAGAAAAATGCCCTAAATTGCTGTAAATATTATCTATTTAAGGGAACGAAATTATACAAATAATGAATGAAAAGAAAAGCAATGACAGTCTGGCAATGTAGTATCTGGCAAGTGGCAGCGAGCTGTACAAACATGAGTTGAGTGTGCTCTCGCTGTGGTATGTATTGCTATATGGTGTTTGGCGCTATATGCTAGCTACGCGCGGGCGAACTGTGGGACAGTTTAGCCGTACACTTGCGGGTGCATTGTGGTTGATTGGGGCTGGGCCCATGGTTTCGTAGTGCTACGTGCGCGCGAATCATATCTCCACAGTGGCACTAAGCTATGCAATGCGATATTGTTTAGGCAGTGCAGCATTGGTTGTTGCATTGCTGTAGTGTTCCTATATTGCAGCATTGGCCTGTGCATTGCTATAGCGTTCATGTATCGCAGCATTGGTTGTGCATTGCTTTAGCGTTCCTGTAATGCAGCCTTAGTTTGTGCAGTGATTATTGGAGTGAGCAGTGCGATATTAGTTGTGTATTGTAAATAGGGCTCATATTCGAAAACCACAGGTTGTAATAAAGCTGCCCAAGACAATTACTCCCAAATCATTGAATCATTTAATTGTTGTCTCTGAAATAAATCATCGTTGTTACTTGAGATTACCGATCATTCAGTTTCCAGTTGTCCTTGTTATTGTGTTATTGCCTAATTGACAGAAGGTTTAGGGATCAATTCCTGCGGCGGTAGATTTCCACCCAAAACGAGCCTGCATCCTTTAGCCTTTAGACTGCTTTGTGTAGTCCCTGGTCCGAGGAATAACTTGCTTCGGGAACAGTCCCGCCACACTATACTTGTTGACAGAATATTTTTTAACCCTATGCACCCCGAGAAACATGTTGGAATTTTGTTTTGGCATTCCGCCAGAATGCGATGTGATGCGGGGATGCAGCCCAGGGGCGGATCCAGGAATTTTTGCAGGGGGGAGGGGTGCCGATAAGCAAATAAATGCTGAAAGGTAGACAGTTTTTTTTTGTCCCGACACTTGGCTCCGTCAAATAAAGGGGGAGGGGGGGGGGGGGGGGGGGCTCGTTCCATACTTTGAATGGGGTCGCTGTTCAAATGCTACGATAAATATTACTATTTTACACGATAGTGTACAAAATTAATACCCCCGTTACCAAGCAGGCTCTTTTTTTAAATTTTTTGCAAAGGCCTATATTAATACCACTATTAAAAGCTTTTAAAATGCGTCGTTTTGATGTAGGAAAGAGGATACATATTGATAATACATCTACATCTTGAAGAGCCCCTAGTGTAATGCGGTGTCCAGCCCCCCCCCCCCCCCCACCGCTTTTCGCATTGCCACGGCCAGGCAATTTTTGGATTTTGGTCATCCCCCATCACCCCCCATTCGCCGGGTAGAAGTATCTATACACCCAACGAATGCATAATATTATTAAATAGGTATTAGTTAGTCTAGACATTATGTCGGCAGACTGATTAATAAGTGACAGCAGGCAGCCAGTTGTAACCTCCATGTGCAATTAGTTAATTAGCAACAACGACTAGCAAATTCTGGTACCGAGGGTCTATTCCATTTAAGATGGCAGTACATTATCCCGCCTATTCTGGGAAACCAACCATGTCGAGGGGAAACACCCATCCACCCACCACGCTCCCCCCAACCTTTGGCATGCACCGATCTTGGACTTCCTGAAATATACTTACCGCTTTTTGTTCCAACAAAAATCTTTTAATTATATTGCAAAGTGGGAATGTATGCTGCCCTTCTATATTTAAAATAAAAGTGAAATTAAATCACAGGTAATAATATAAACGGCATAAAATGAATTTCAGTCTACAGTTAATCATAGCCCATTATAACTTGTTACATGTTCTACTTTTTTGTAGAAAAACAGCCACATTACTGTTTAAACCTCAATTATGAGCAAGCAAATTTCCGACGGATTTGGTTAGTTTCCAGCATGCATTGGACCATAACGTTTCTATTATCATACTGGCCAGTTCTATTTTTCCATTCCAACCAATTTAAAATGGCTATATCGAAAGACTCACCAGATAAAATTTCATTCAAAGGACAAATTTTCTTTCAAGCAATAGCCGCGCTCTCGCTTCACATTTTCCCAAAGTTAATTAGCGTTTCATTACGGAGGTTCGTTAATGGAAACACGCTTGTTGGCTACAAGGCATTATGTTTTAATATGTCGCCTTTTCAAGGCATTCTAGCGTCCCCTTCAAAATCCTATGATCACGTTAATATCAAGGACAAAACTTCTTATATAATTGCAATATCTGCGCTCTCGCTTCACATTTTCTAAACCTTCATTAGTGGTTAATTATAAAGGTTCGTTAATTGAGCAAGTTTGTTGGCTTCAGGGCATTATGCGATTTTCAAGGCAATCTAACGTCCTCATCATGATCACGTTAATTCAATGACAAAACTTCGTTATTACAATATTTGTACATTTTTGTATCATAATTTTAACGTTCCAGGCTAGTTCCTGATTGGCTAGGTTTGCTATAACGTAATTTTGTTCAGTGGTATACGGCTGCGCAGCTGCTGGGGTGAGCTGTGCCGTGGTTGTTCCTATCGGTGATTCTATCAATATAACAGACTCTCGATCATAGCGTCGATCATAGCGTCAGACACGGTCTTAGGCACATTCCCCATCGTCGTGCAGTACTCTACCTGCGTAGCTTACTTCTAGTAGGTCGCGTTGGTGTGTGTGTGTCGCTTAAGAATACAAACAACACAACGGATTGCCAATATTTGCACTTATCAGACAAAGTTTTGGGCAAGTTTTCGAGTTGAGGCTGTTACCCGATTTTTGTTCAGTGGTTTAATGCGTAGCCTTTTAATTCGCGTAGGTGCTTGAGTCGTTGATATATACATCTATCGCATTCGTGCTCTGAATTCACCTCATCTAGGAACATGGATGGAGCAGCAGCTTTGGTTCTGATGTTGTCAGCAATGGCAGGTAAGATGTAATATCTATCCCCTGAGGTACTCTCTATAAATTCCAAAGAGTGAAATTAGTGACTAGACGTTTTAGAGTGAAAATCACTCTCATTTTCGATTGAAATAGTCTGAAAACAAAGAACCACTTCAGTCGAAGCTCGAGTGGAGACTCGATCTTTGCGATTGAAGAAATTTCACTCTCAAACGTCTAGTCCCTAGTTTTCGACTGTGGAAGTTAATCTTCACTCGAATGGAGTGAATTTTCACTCTTTGGAATTTGGAGAGTATGTCCTCAAAACCATGGCAGGTTTGCTGACAATAGCAGTCCAGCTTAGCTAGACCATTTCAAAACCTCACGTTTGCAGTTGTCGATCACTGTTGAATTTGATGATCCTATCTTTGAAGTAATGTGTGTTGGGTTGAAAAAAATACTTTGAGTTTTTGTATGATCACCATGACAGCCGATTAAACAAAACTTGATTTTGATGTGGTAATAATTATGCGGGTGTAAAGGAGAATCCCAGATTGTTTTTGGGGCCGGGCTGCTACATTTACTACCAGTATGATTATCCCTACCAACATTGACCCTGTCATGTCCTTTTAGGACGAGGGGAAGGCACGTTGTGCCCCATCCTTATTTCCATACTGTAGCGTTTTCGGTGGTTCAATTTTATTCAGTGGACAGACAGAATAAGACACAAATGACACCAATATTCCGGTTTCTTAACTTCTAATTCTTTCCTCCAAACATCCAAACAATGACTTTTCGCGCCAATTTCAAGCTGACTTGCGCTGACCCTAACCTCCACTAAAATTAAACAGCGCCGCCTATACTGGATTCTGCAAACTCTACATCATCCCCTCCCCGGGGAAAGAATGCGTCCCGCATTCACGAACAACAAATTTAACTAGAAAAACGCCATTAACAAGTTAAGGTTCTAAAAAACAAGAACAATTAAAACTATAAGTTGACCACCATGTCCTACTCCTGAAAGAATATTTCCGAAGTTATCCTCGCAATCAAGGAATCCTCATCGTAGAGGTCGAAAACGCGCCTCCGCTTGACGAGCTTTCCTGTTGCCTCATCTGATTGGCCCGAAACCGTTGCAGAACTTGGGGGTGTGATAACTTTCCTTAAGGATGTTGCACCTTGTGGCGAAACCAAACGCCTCACGTCATCTGGAGACAAGTGTAATTCCAGGCACGGTCCGGACTTCTATTCGGGCGTCTTGGAGATCTCGGGCGTCTTAGGAGCTTTGGGGGAGTTGCTGACTGATACCGGCGACTTGTTGCCTGCATCAAGATTGCCTGTGTGAGCCCGTCGGATGTGCCTCGCCAAGTCGTTCTTCCGGCCGTAGATTATGTCGCAAAACGGACAGGGGAACCGATCACGTGGTTGGTGTTGTTCGGCCATGTGCCTTGCCAATTTTGACGTGGCCCCAAATGACTTATCGCATTCGAGGCACCTGCAGCTTTCCGCTCGTTCATCATGTCGTTGGTGGGTTCGGTCAGGTGTGGGCGATCGGCGAGGAGAATCCCGGTGATGACGGCTGTGAATTCTTCTCGGCATCTGCAGAGAATACAACAGAGAACAGGGGATTAGGTTAGTTCGTATTTGCTCCGTAGTTAAAAATGTTATTCGGTCCATTCGCCATAACGCTGAGGAGGTCGACGTTTTCTGTTGTGCCCTTCATGGTGACCGTATGTGTCTGAAGTTTTCTTAGGTTCAGCAACTGGTGGAACCCCAATCTCTCCATTGACGACTTCAATATGTTCCTGCATGTTGTGGTCTTCTGCTGATTTCTGTGAGAACCCTTCTGTGGTAGCCTCTTTGCTCTCCTTGCCTCCACCAGACGAATCCGGCTGCAGAACAACTCGAGGGGCTTCCTCTTCCCCCTCCTCTTCGAGCTCCTCGGACCCAGGAAGTTGCTGTAATGCACTGCTCTTTGGCCTCCACCATGACTTGTAAACTTCACCCACAAAGCGCTTCAGACGATTAATATGGACAACTTTGGGCTTATGGCGTGATCCTCGTTGGATTTGGATTCTGACGTTGACACCATTTAGCACTTCAGTTACAAGGTATGGGCCTACCCATCTTGGCTGGAGCTTGGGAGACAGCCCAACAGTTCTTTGCTCAACTGTTAACATCAAAGCAGTCCCTGGTTCCAGACACTTCGGCTTGCCTGCTACTTTGTAATTCCGCCTTTGGTGCTTTGCGGCCTTATGAAGGTGTACTCGTGCCTTCTCATGGGCCTCGTGCATTCTTTATCTCAGGTGTATGGCATATTCAGTGATTTCTTGGGGTTCTTCTGGGGATCTTAAAACCAGGTCTACCGGCAGTTCTACTTCCCTACCAAAAGTGAGATAGTTGGGTGTTTGTCCAGTGCTGCTATGCTCTGATGCCCGATATGCCATCATCACTAGTGGTAAATGAAGGTCCCAGTCCAACTGATTTTCAGCAACATAGGCGCGCAGCATGTCTTTAAGCGTGCGATTGAATCGTTCAATCTGTTGTCTAATTGGTGCTCTGCCCCAGTTGGGAGGAGGTTTGCGTTTGGCACATTGGAGGCATTGGGTACACCACGTCACCACTGAGTCTCTCAAGTCCTCTACTAAGAATCTGGACTTCACCTTTGCATGCATTTTGTTAATGCCGAGGTGGCCAGCTGTAAGGTCATGAAGTTGCTTGAAAACGTCCCCATGGAGGGACCTGGGGACTACTAAAAGCCACCGAGAGTGGTGCCGATCATCCTCGTTCCAACGCCTGTATAACACGCCGTCGTGCAAACAAAGCTGCTGCCATGCCCCCATAAAGTTTTGAGCCACGTACCCTCAGCAGACACATCTTTTCAAGTTGGTCGTGGATTTCCACTTTCCAGCCAGCCTATGATCTTCTGCAGAGTCTGGTCACCTGTTTGTTTTTCTCTCAACTCCGAAGCAGTGAAACCTTTCAGCCAACAGAAAGACGACACCTCACGAATGAACTGACTGCTGTCTGAACTGTGTGTATGATGCTGCGCAGGTAGTGAATGGACTGGTTCAGTTGGCAGGTCTGGATCTTGCTCTTGAATTTTCCACAACATTTCTATTCGTTGGCATTTCTCCTTTGTGCTATGGTGCTGGTCTCCCTTAACTTGTGTCCGCCCCTCACGCGATGGTTGTTCCCTGCTGTCGTATCCTTGCTCAACTTGGTCGCTCTGACACCGTGTACAAGTGCACAGCTTTCGTGACACGGCATCGGCATTGCTGTGCTTGCGTCCCGGTCGATGTTCAATATTGAAGTCATATTCTGCCAGCACTTGCAGCCATCTTGCAACCTGCCCCTCTGTTTCTTTGAAAGTGAAGAGCCATCGGAGAGATCCATGATCTGTTCTAAGAAGAAAGCGGCACCCATATAAGTAAGGTCGAAAGTGTTTGATGAAGTGTACGACAGCAAGCAACTCCTTTCTCGTTACACAGTAATTTTGCTCTGGCTTTGACAAGGCACAACTGGCGCTAGCAATTACGCGCTCCTGACCATCTTGCAGTTGGCTAAGAACAGCACCTATTCCGCTATTGCTGGCGTCGGTGTCCAGAATGAATTCTGCGTCAAGTTTCGGGTATGCCAAAACCGGAGCAGAAGTGAGCCCCTGTTTCAGTTGTTCGAAAGCCAATTGGCAGTCATGCATCCAGCTGAAGTCCTTGTCTTTTTCTGTAAGCTTGTGAAGTGGTCTGGCGATTACTGCAAAGGAAGCTACAAACCTCCTGTAGTATGATGCCAGGCCCAAGGGACTTCTCACCTCCTGTATGTTTCTTGGTACTGGCCATTCCTCGATTTGCCGCGTCTTGCTTGGATCTGTCTTGACTCCTCCTTTTGAGACAATATGCCCCAAGTAGGAAACCTCTTCCTGAAGCAGATGACATTTATCCGGCTTGAGCTTTAGTCCGGCCTGCCGTATGCGATCTAGCACCACTCCCAGTCTGTCAATGTGCGACTCAAATGTCTTGGAGAATATAATGACGTCATCTAGGTACACAAGACATATCTGCCACTGTTTGCCCATGGAGGACTCTCTCCATTAGACGTTCAAAGGTCGATGGGGCATTGCAAAGCCCAAACGGCATGACCCTAAACTGGTACAGCCCGCAATGACTTGAGAAAGCTGTCTTTTCCTTGTCTGCCGCGCTCATTGGTACTTGCCAATACCCCGAGGCTAGGTCCAATGTTGTAAAATATCTGGATCCTGCAAGTGTTTTGAATGAGTCGTCTATTCGGGGTATTGGGAAAGCGTCCTTTCTAGTGATTGCGTTGAGCCTACGATAATCAACGCAGAATCGAACTGAACCATTTTTTTTTTTCACGAGCACAATAGGCGCTGCCCAAAGTCCGGTTCTATGATGCTGCCGTCCATCATCTTCTTGATTTCTTTCTCTACCGTCTCTTTCTGAAGGAGGGGTATGCAACGAGCCCCTTGTCTTATGGGATTCGCACTTCGGGTGTCTATAGAGTGTTCAGTTAAAGAAGTAAGGCCAATGTCTCCTTTATGTTGAGAAAACACATCTCGGTGTTCGCAAATAAGCCTGTGTATGCGGCCCCTCTGTTCCTCGCTTAATTGGGACGAAGTTCTCACTTCTGTGCTGGAAATTGGGGGGCCAATAACGTCTACGGTCTGGAACAAACCCGCTGCTGTTCCTTTTCGCAAGATAACGGTGTCCTCACTGGGTTTTCAGATGCGAAGCGGAACCCAAGACGTATCATACCGAGTCACTGCTGGGGCGAGAAGTATGCTGTGCTTCTCCAGTAAGCTTTGGATCGGTTCAACAATCCCAATGCCATTTGCACAGTTCTGTCGCTCTATGTCACCTTCGACAACAATCTCAGAAAATGGTGGAATAGCTACTGTATCTTTCACCGTCACTCGGCAGCTCTGTTGTCTTACGTTGATGTTTCTCAGAGGAACTTCCAAATTTCCATACACGAGGTGTCTTCTTCAAACGTCGATGACGCAGTTGTGCTTGTCCAGGAAGTCCAATCCAAGAAGAATGTCATTATGAATATCAGCTATCACCATTTCGTGGTGCACTTTTTTACCACCTAGCTGAAGCTCGACTGTTGCCTCCCCATAAACACTTAGCAATGTCTCGTTTGCTTGGAAAACTTGCACGCTAGAACTCTTGATTATTGGCTTGTTATCAAAGTGATCTACCACTCTTTTGGAAACGATGGAGATAGTCGCACCCGTATCGAGAAGCATTTCTACTGGAGTTCCGTTGATGTGCCCAGCTACATGGAGGCCCGCCCCAACCGGGGCTATGGTTCCGCTATGAAACACTTTCTGTGGTGGCCTTTCGTGCTTGGTGTTTGCCTATCTGTTCCATACGCTGCTCAAGCTTGGATACGGTACTGTCGTGGGGTTCACATTTGCTGACCTCATTGACAACCACCTGTTCCTTCCCTTCCCCTACGGAGCGTAGTCTCTTGGTGTTGTTCTCCTGCTCAGCACCATTTATCGCTTCAAGTTCGATCGCAGCTGTGAGTGCTTCTTCTAAATTACAGGGACGCATTTGAAGCGTCCGTGTCCGCGTGTCTCCATCTGCCAAAGCATCAAGAAAATAATCTCTGGCCATTGTTGCCACCCCGGCGGCTGGAAGCTCGCCGAAAGTCTTCTCAACGATAAACCGAATATCCTGTGCGAGCTCCGACAGAGTCTCTCCATTTTTCTGGCGCCCGTTCTTAAGTTGCACCCTATATAGTTCCTTCCGTCCATCTGGTTCAAACCTTGCTTTCAAAGCATTCGCCAGACCGCTGAATGTTAATGGTGTCCCATCGTTTGTCTGACCCTGCAGCACCTGTTGGGCTGCTCCGGCCAAGGATACAGCAAGATACTCCGTTTTCTCTATCTCCCCCATCCGTTAATACTGGCACACATTTCAAAGTGTCGATAGTATGCAGTCCATGAAGTCGTCCCATTGTATCTATCGGGTCGCAGCTGCTGCAAACGTGCTTGTGTTTGAATGTTGTGGAAAAGCACCAGCGGCACGAACATTTCGCTAACCGACTCCTGGTGTATCATTCCATGGTCGCTGACCTACTGCAATGTGTTGCTGCGCCGACCCGACGCCTGTGGCTCCGTGCTCGTTGTGTGCACCGACGAACTGTTTATTGACAAACCGGGCGGCGTAACCGATGAACTCGCCGATACCGACGCATCGCCACCTGGCGCTTTGGCCGTCGGTATGACCCCTGAACCGCCAGCGGCACGAACATTATCATACCCTCTTGTACCGTTCCATGGTCGCTGACCAACTCCGATGTGTTGCTGCGCCGAACCAACGCCTGTGGCTCCGTGCTCGTTGTGTGCACCGATGAACTGTTGATTGCCAACCGATGAACCGGTCGGTGTAACCGATGAACCCGTCGTTATTCCAGAAACCGACGCATCGCCACCTGGCGCTTTGGCCGTCGGTATGACCCCTGAACCGCCAGCGGCACGAACATAATCATACCCTGGGGTACCGTTCCATGGTCGCTGACCGACTCCCATAGGTTGCTGCGCCGAACCGACGCCCCTTGCTCCGTGCTCGTGGTGCTCACCTATGAATTGTGGATTGACTAACGATAAACCTGTCGGTGCAACCGATGAACCCGTCGGTGCCCCCACAACCGTCGCAGCGCTATCCGGTGCGCTAGCCGTCGGTATTATCATTGAACCGCCAGCGAAGTGCAGTCGCCCTTGTCCGTCGTGCCACGGTTGCAATGCGGAGCCATTGCTGTGCTGGGTTGTCGCGTCCCCGTTGACTCCATGTACCTGGCTTGTACAGACGAGTGCCGAGGAAACGATCGGTGGACCAATCGGTGCATCAGTGGCTCCATCGTATGATGCGGCGCCGTGAAAGAGTGGTTGCTCCAGTGCTCTGCTGTGGGGTGACGGTGTGGGCGTGGAGGCCTCGGCCGGATACCCTGCGGTTGTCCACTGCAACGAGCCGGTCGCTGGCGGGAGGATCCCCGGTAGCGACAGGAATGAGTGCTCCGGGTCAAAAGCTGCACGGGGAAGTTCATGCGGGATGTTAACTACAAAACGTGACATGTCACCTTGCGGGGCAGGGAAAATGGGGGAATTGTATGGAACCATGGTGTCGGGAGGGAAACGGGTGGAGGGGACATGGATGGACGAGTAGAAGGGTGCATTGGGTTGGTGTCTGACATGTCGGTGGATCAATCCGACAATTTTATTCAGTAGAGAGACATAATAAGACACAAATGACACCAATATTCCGGTTTCTTAACTTCTAATTCTTTTCTCCAAACATCCAAACAATGAACACACGATATCAGTATTACTTGTGATTTACCTTTATCTGCACTATACTGGTAATCGCAACGTGGAGCCTGGGTTGTGTACATACGGAGCTGGCCTTTCAGAACAACCTTCACAACCAAGATCTGTACAGCAACTAACCGCGCACGCGCACGCACGCACTTTTCGCGCAAATTTCACGCTGACTTGCGCTGACCCCAACTTCCCAGGATCATCTCCCTAGCTATTGGGCTATTATCTAACAGCAGATTTGATAAAATTAGGGTCCAAAAATAGGTCCTATTAGCACGAGAAAATATAGGGATGCCATTGGTAAATTTGGCAGTATGCAGGCTCAGCAATTACCGGCACACTCTCGCAAAAAGTGATTCGGCCAGCTTTCTATACGAAACCTCATTGGCTCGGGGTTTTGTGCGTAAACCTTATTAGTCAGCCGATCACGCTCAACTGACTTCGGCAAATCCGCAAGTCCCATCATAAAGAATGAGTTAACTAGACCATTTTTTTTCCAAGAGTGTGTTTCTAATGTTGTGGCCCTTTAAAGCGTACTGTAAGGCCGGATATCGGGGGTCCACTCACAAGTCCGACGCCTCATAGGTCCGACGCCTCATTGAAGTCCGAAATTCCGGACTTATGAGGCGTCGGACTTATGAAGTGTCGGACCTATGAGGCGGATTTAGGCTATTAGTCTAGCTTTACTGGTCTTCATGCATATGATGCTCCGATGGACTTTTACACAATACACGGTATGTTGTACATGTACCGAATGCATACTGTACCCGTGCGGTATGGGAAAAGGGTTTACGAATTGGAACACATGCAGAAAGTTGAATTGGCAAGTCAAAAGAACTATGTTCTATTTTTTTAATTGAAAAAAAAAAAGAAGTGAATCTCGAACTTTAAAAACATCAAACGTTTTGAATGGCCTCTAATGCAGTAGTCTTACACCTGAAACATACATTGTTTCCTTCTGATTGTCGTATAGTTGTAAAAATACCAATTTGATATTTTATTAGCCACATTGTTTTATAGAGTGACCATCATGGCATTGTTGGCTTGCAGCTATGTTTTGATTTAATTAATTCCAAAGTGCTGTTGGTTGGTGTGGAGAGCCAGCAGAGGGTGTGTTACTCCGGTCCCCCACCGGAACCTGATCCTGATAATCCGGATGACTGGATGAAGCAAGTCATGCAAGAGATACGGAAGCGTTGCCCGGGAAGGAGGCAACCCACCCTAGCTGGTAAGTCGTCCTACGATCACCTATATCTTAGGTATGACAAACAAGCATGCGGATATATTCTATCACAAGGTTTGTGTTGTATTGAGATCGAACTTTTTTGTTTACCGAATATCAAGGTCCATCGAAGGCTGCAAATGACGTTAAACGACTGCTAACAAGAGATATGTTTCCTGTTTGCTTGTTTGCTTCAAAAATGTTACACGACTCTTTCAATTCGAACAAAACATTTAGGTGTTTTCGTGCAACTCCCTAGACTTGGTGCCAAGTCGGTAGTTGTTTTGAGTACGGTAACCGGTTACTGGCTCCACGCACGCAAAATATCGCTGCAATGCGCGCAGTCTGGTTCCCAGACCAAATGATGCTGACTATTTCTGATAAATTACCGACTTGGAGAAATCGTTTTCAATTTTGTACACAACATATGGGAGTATTTTGATTTTGATATTTTGCGAATTCTATGGAAGCACTCTGATTGGTTCAGATTCCAGAGTGTATTCTAGGCCAGCACGGAAAATCGTTCTCATTCCTTCGAGGGTTTGTACTTTGTGTTGTGTAACATCACAAAACTCATTAAAGGGCATACACGACTCAAATAAATCAAGTATATCACAATGATACATTTCTTTTCTATACACAATTGAGCAAGCTGAGTGTATTGGTCGTTAAAACGTCGCCAGAATTGCAAACATGTCCCTGACGTATTGAGAAGAACTCCACATCTAACGAAATGAATCAATGAGACCTCATTTGCATAGCGGTGCGCGATTGGATCTCACCGGAAAAATACACTCCATATGTATTGCACTGCTTGCATATATGAATAACGTTGCTAGAACGTAATCGTCAAGTCGTTAGATTTGTCGCAACCCCGCCGATTAGGTACTAGTCGTATACCAGCCGCGCCGATGGAGCTCGACTGAAGTTCAAGGACAAAATACGGGTTTCTAACGACTTGTCATCAAGTCTAGCAACTCCCCAGAGTAAATTCCAAAAAAAAAAAAAATTGAAAAATCCTTTGTTTCATGGTCATGCACATTGAATTTTCTCCCAAATTCAAAATGTTTCTCACTGCCGAATTCGAGGGAAGGGGAGGCTTTTTTTATATTTGCAATAACGAGGCCCTACAATCAATCTAAAACCTACCCCAGCTGGTAAGGGGAAACCTACCCCAGCCGATACGGAGAAATCTACGTCAGCTGGTACGGAGAAACCTACCCCAGCTGGTACGGAGAAACCTACTTCGGGTGGTACGAAGAAACCCACCTTATCTGACTCGTGGAAACATACCTAACTTTAAGTCGTCTTAACCCTGCGCAGCGTTTACAAAAAAGTTTATCAGAACTCGCTAACGGTGGCCCTTTGGGCCACAGGTACTTCCCCGCACTACGCAAGACCCTATTCATGTCAAAACAACAAAAAGCCACTTGCCAGACAGTGTCCAGGCAGTTGCCAGACAGTGCACTTAAAAGATAATTGACTGGTGGCTGTGGTTTGCGGCTATGAAGGGAGATGGCTGTGTCAAGTTACAGGTGTTTGTATATGTTTCAATGAGACTTGGCAGGAGGCCTGGTCGAAAGTTTGTTGACACGGCTTGGGTGAAGCCCTGGCTGCAAAGTTCATTGAACCATCTGATTTGGCATGGGTTGAATGAGGGTTAGATGGAAGGTGACCGTCATTGGCCCTCATTTTTTTTCACCAAAAAATTCGGTCACCTGCGTACCCAAGGTACGGAGGTCACTCTACGCAGGGTTAAGATATCCCAAAGCGTAGGTTTGACTAATTAGCATATGGATCTGTTCTATGACAAGGTTGAGTTTGAACATTTAATTTTTTTTTATCCGTTAATCAAGTTTCATCAACAGCTGCTGACCCAACTTCTCCAAATTAAAAGAAAATCCCTTCAGGTGTTTTTGTGCACCCCCCCCCCCAGAGTAAACCCAACAAAGATGAACAACGGAAAATCCATTGGTGTATTGTCATGCTCATTGTATTTTCTCCCAATTTTCAAAATGTTTCTGACCGCCAAATTCGAGGGGGGGGGGGGGCTTTTTCTTATTTGCAATAACGAGGCCCTCCTATCAATCTAATGTTTGTAAGGTAACATTTGCAGTTACGATCAAATTATCATTCTCTCAATATTACTGGTTTTTTAAAACTATGAATATGAATAAATATTTCATTTGCTTACTCATTTGTTGCCAGCAGAGTGTTCCAGTCCGCAACCCCTTGGTATGGAGGACGGGACAATCCAAGGTGATCGCATCACGGCGTCGGGTAGTTACACCTGTTGCCGTGCTTATTATGGACGCCTCAACCATGACAAGGGATGGACAACCTCAAGGTAGGTATCGAAGGGAAATACCACACCTGACACTTCACTCTCATATTCACTGTGTATCATTACAATGCCACAAAACCCTCCTGAATGTGTTTAATTAATGAACATCTAATTGCCTCAGTGGGGTTTTGTTCCTGTACGTTTTGTTTTATTTTGTTTGGCATTGTTTTTCTTTTTTGCAATGGTTCTCCTTTCCATTATATAAAAAACGTTATCACCCCCGGCCAAAGCCCAACCCGGACTCATGCGCATTTGAATTGCACACTGTAACAAGTTTCAATAATAATATTTGATTTTCAAATCCATGTCACAAGCGGATTTGCGGAGTATTGTTATTTCATTGTTCCTCATCCTCTCTTCACTATGTATACAGTGGCGAAGCCAATCCCTGGATCGAGGTGGACCTCGTCCAGAGTACAGTGGTGACTGGGGTCACCACACAAGGCGACGGCAGCGATTCGTTTGTGACTGCGTACAAGGTGGCGTACAAGAAGCAGCCCTCATCCGACCGTGAACACGTGATGGATGGAAACGGAAACATCAAGGTAAACATCAATCTTTACTAAGTCTTGCTGTAAGCTACATTTAACTTCGTTTGGGCTTTTGTTTGGGCTTTTATTGCAATATGATAACTTCATTATTTACGACTTCGTACGGTTTCATGCTCATGCAACCATTTAGCCATTCTGAAATCGCGTCTGATTATACCACGTGTGAACAAAAAAGCATGTCCTGCTTTTGATTGGTTTTCTCAGCTATTTTAAAAGATGTTTCATTCAAATTCACCAACTTTATCATTCAATTTCGTCCACGAAAAATTTCACACGCTTAAACAAAACCAATTTAGTCCAGATTTTGGCCCCAAAATAGCAAAACGCTCTGAAGCTGAAACAGAAACTTATGTCTATAATGTCTATAATAAGTCATTATGTCTATAACATGGCTGAGAATGATCAGAAAAGTGAGTGCCCACCCAAGACAAGCAGTTTACTTTATATAGTTATTACGGTTCATTGAAATTCTGTTTCGAAGGAGGACCCCGTCAGCTAAGAATGCCCACTTTTTTTGTAGTTTTGGTCCTAGACTTTACTACAAGTAGGCTATTTTTATACAAATCTTCGTTTATTGCGTTGTGATTCATTTCAGGTGTTCATCGGTAACACCGATATCGACACCCCGGTCACTAACCTGTTTGATGAGAGTGTGGTCGCCACGGTAGTACGCATTGAGCCTACTGGATCGTTTTTTTATCCCGCTCTGCGATTGGAGCTGCTTGGATGTCGTCGTGGTTAATTCAGCTGAAGCATTCAGGTGATTCTCTCCAAAAGCGCTGACAAAATTTCACTCATTATAAAAGTAAATGCGACGGTAGATAATATTAAGGTTGATAATAAATACCATGCTTTGTAGGAGGAATATTTACACAAAGTAAGGATACACTGAAGATTTAGAATAACCACTACGGACTCTTATGAGTTGTTTTGTCTTTAGCTTAAGAAGTAGCTCCCGGAAAAAAATATAGGTTTTACCGGCTATTTTAAAACGTTTGTCATTCGAATTTACTGTTTGTAATATTCAAATTGGTTAATCAACATCGATTAAGTTTAATTTCGTTTAATTTTATGTACAATTTTGTCTTTTGTCAGACAATTTCAAATTCAGTTCAAGCAAATTGAAACAATAAGCACACACTTTCTTCTCGGGTTATTCAATTTTGTCTCATCTACGCCGAAGACGTTATTCAGAAATTCAAATCGTGTGATTGATTTATATAAGACGAATTTGATCTCTGAATGCTGCCATTTGGCAACAGCTTTGTGATGGCGAATATTCTCGAGCAGGTGACTAAAGAGCGTGACCAAACTTTGAAACTGAATGGTAAATGACTAAATTGAATTTGATAACGAGTGTGAAATTTTGCCCGGACGAAATTGAATGTTAGAGTTGGTGAATTTGAATGCAATATGTTTTAAAATACCCGGGAAAACCTATACATTAGGGCAATGTTCACAGTTTATATTAAAATTAATGAACCTATTATCGCCAAGTTTCCTGCGTGGAATGCAATATAAACAAGATTATCTGAAATTAAAAAAAAAAGTCAAAAAAAGGAAAACAATTCACCTGATGAATAGTAAAAGTAAAGTATATATATATAAATATATATATATATTTTTTAAAAGTATTTCCGCTCTAAACAGAAACGTCTAAACTTTTGCAGTGCGTTTGTTGCATAGTTTTTTTGTATTGTATATATTAAGATAACGCTGTTTATGAATTGTTAAACCGTGATATGTCACACACAAAATAAAAAAATCGAAGTGGCTATAGTGGTAAACCATTATTAATCATTTCTGGTAATGAAACCAAGGATTCCTCAAAAGCGCCCGAGGCACTGTAGCTCGCAAGCATGAGGAAACCTGTGGAGAGAAGACAATGAGAAGAATTTACAGTTTTAGAGGTGGTAGGAAAAGCCCAGAAGAATATTCTGGGGAAAACCCACGGAATCAGGCAGGGACTGAAAACCCAATCCACATATTGGCCCAGGCAGGATTCGAACCCGGGTCACAGCGGTGGAAGGCGAGGAAAGTACCGCTACGACCCGACTCTCGAGAATTCAAATCTTTTAGTGATCAAACTTTGAGTTTAAAGGCCGGTTCATACTTTACACGTTTGTAACTGCAAAGCGCATTTGACGTCAGGAAAGCATTCGCTAAGAAATGCCTTGGTGTTGAAATGTGTTCAACTTTTGCGAATTCCCTGCAGGAAAAATTGGCATGACGTCACAAGGACGCGTTCGCTTTCGTTCGGAGTATTGTTATTATTATTATTATTTATTCGGCCAACAAATGAACAAAAGTACAATGACAAAGCAAATAAAAAGTAAAAAGTAAACAAAAATTGGAAATTGAAAAGTAAGACCAGACAAGACTGAAGAATGCGAGTAAGAATGGGTCAGGGGAGGGGGGAGGGAAGGGAGTTTGACAGGGGAGAGGAGATAGAGGGACAGAAAACAAAAACAATATAACATTCCAAACCGGCCAGGGTAAACAAAAGTGTACTGAAACACTGTAGCCCTAAGGCCTGCCAACCCATGCTCGAAATGTCTACACAAAAATTAAATAGTATTCAATGTAAATATAAATATATAAATGAAAAAAAAAGTATGAACTAGTGTTGAATGTAGTCTTTGCTTAATTATGTTTAAGCATGTCATGAACCAATGTATTTTTGCTGTCAATATAAGAAATTGAACTCACGATATCAAATAGTCATATAATAATTTAGGTGAATAGTATAAGGTGTGTAGTGTATTGCTGCCGTAATGCAACATTTTCATTGGCATTTGTAATTGTGATGTTCGATATGGAAAATATTTAAATACAAATACGTGTATAGATTTATGTGTAACAAAGTTAATTGATATAGTTTAAGACAATATTTTTTTCAGTTATATCATTTTGACACGTGACTACTAGGATGTATGGGTCATCAAAATACCCTAATTTCAAACTAAGGGTCGATTTGTATTAAGAAGAAAACTACATGAGTATTAACACATAAAGTGTTATATTCATTTGATGCCGAGCTGCCATAACAAGAAGCTAAGAGGAAGCAATCTTTATCTCATTGAAGCACATACTTACCAATATTGTTCAATTATAATTCAAATGATTGTATACGCTGTGTGAATATGAACATGCTTGTGAAATAAAAACAAAACATAGAAACATTCACTCGTTTAATTTTTTAATTGATCAGTTGATGTGCTTTTCGTATTAAAAATGAGGTGTACGAAACGACTTGCTGCCTGTCCAAATTTGATTGTAATGATTAAATACATCAGAAATGGAGAGAAAAAAATCCCACTTTGTTCTTCGTTCCGCGTGTTTAGCAAAGTGTCGTAATCAAGTTACCGTTATAGTCTGTACCAACTTTATTTTACCACCAGAGAGCGCCCAGCAACACTGATACATTCCTAGAACCCAACGCCCGAGCCTATACAATTCTTTCGTTGTTAATTGGCTCTGTTTACTAGCTGTTTGTATATAATTTAAAGACAATAAGACCCTGAGACAAGGAGCTTAAAGCTGCAGCAGTTTCAGTATCATTATCGCCGAAAGAAGTGTAAAAACATCGGATCCACGTTCTGTTATGTCGCATCTGTACCGGCTAGGATGTATTTATGCATGTAGTCTATGGGCAAATGACTCTTTAGGCTTCCCTTCCATTGTCACGAAGAGGTTTGATTTAATATTTCATATTTCAATTCCTTCTGACTCGTAGGGCGTATCCTATCAACACTGCCTTGAACCTTGAAGGCACAATGCATGTATCTTAATTGCAATATCTTTAATATTACGGCCCTCTCGATGCGTATCGTTTCATTGTTTACGCGGTTGTGTAATTATCTAGACCAACCTTGATTGCTGCTGAGGATTCTGTGTTTATTACCGGAAGCCGCTTTCGCTCGTACGTGGTGTCGCACCGTTTCATATCGATTCGTGACTGTTTATGGCTGCGATGGTCGTCATTGTTCATTTCAAAGCTGGTCCTTTTTCTGCAGAAGCTATTTTGTGAAAATTGGAAACTGTAATTACAAGGGAATACCCACTAGCTGTTACGTTACACTTTCAGAAAAAAATTACACAAGTTGTGTAAAATTTAACCATGTTTTATATGTACTATACGAACTCGTTTGCAATTGTATAAAAAAGTTACATAATGCATGTTGGGTAAAAGTTTTCTTGACAGTTGAAAGTTTACTTAATGTATGTGTAAATATATTTACGCATTTATGAAGTAAAAGACGATAAAGTAAAGTTTACATACCTTTAACGTAAAACAATACTATATTATCATGTACAATTGTGCTTTCTAAACGTAAACAACTATGGAAGCCCATCATAACACGAACTGTTTCATTTTAAGTTTATTTATTCCCTTACCGAGCTGTGCAGCATATCACAGCATATAGCTATTAGTTGGAGAAACCATGACGTCTGTGACAACAGGTCTTTGAATATAACATTTTCCTTAAGCTCTTTTTTTATTTTGTTATCATGGTTTATTAAAAAATCTGCTCATTGCAGATAACAAGACAGTTTACATTAAAAATATTATAAACAAATAAATACAGGTTAAGAATAAACAGTATGAACCACATAAAACATCTATGTATAAATAAAAAAGCATTAAAAAAAATCAGCAAGGTATTGTCATGTGTACGAGGCAAAAATATTGCACAGCAAAAACTACACTAATCCAGTTTCAAGTTCTAAAACAAATACATATATTAAATTATGAGGACGATGGGCGTGCACTGAGAGCATCATTGACAAGTCTGTTGAAATGAGGAACTGGACTGTTTTTGAGAAGAGTAGTTTTACATGTTCCTTCATGAAGAGTTCTTTTGGACCTTAGATTCATAGAATGGGAGCTTTTTGATTTGACAAACCATTAAATTAATTTGAGTTTTATGATTTTAATGCAAAATTGGTACAAAGCGTGGTCCTTCTAATGTATAAAGGTTCCAGACCCAGAGTGGTTAATGCTTGATCATAATGATTATATTTGTGGCCTAAAAATACTGCGAGATGCTCTTTTTTGGATGGTTTCTAATTGATCCAAAAGAGTGAGGGAAATACCGCAATGCCATAATAGGGCTGCATATTCCACAATGGGTCTGATATAACCTCTATACACAGTGACGTGTACATAGGCCGAATACAGGTTAACTCGTACGCGACCAACTCGCACACAGGACAACTTAAAACATTTTATAAGTATTTACTAACAAAAATGGAAATGTTTCTCAGTCCCCGATTCATGTCTTATCATCATTTTTGCAATTACCTCCATTGAGATGATATACGAAGAAAAAGAAACAGCGTCTAGGTTGCTACATTCTTTCCACAACTCGTGCGTGGCAAATTCGTACACGGTCCAACTCGAACACAGAATTAAACTCTTATACAAAATTAAATGTGGTCGACGATTCTTGACTATGTAATGGGAACGGTGTATCGTTCAATTTCTTTAAATAGGCTAATTTTGGCCGGCATACGAGTTGGCCCGCGTACGACAAGTAAAAAAGAGTTGTCTCGCTACGAGTTGGTTCACATACGAGTTGTATAATACCGAGTGAAACTCATTCGTTAGACATAGGCATTTGCCCGTGGTCTCCTCCTAAAATTATACACAGTTGGGATCACTGGCTCCGCTCCCACCACAGCCCATCTTTCCAGTGCTGCTGCTTTCAGTTCGTTGGTGTCACACCCTGACCATTCTCG